AAGCAGAGTGAGAAAAGGGGAAGAGAGATTTGTATGAATTAAATGACTCTGGCCTGTGGTTTGCCAGGCTTCTGTTGCTTTTGTTGATAGTGTGTGGTTATGTAAACTTCTTCCCACCACTTTTCTTCTTGAACTTGCTGCAAAACGGTTTTGTGTGGTGTAGCATCTGCTGGCATGAAAGTGCTTGTAAATACCCTGCTTCGTCTTTATTCTGCAGCCCAGTAGGAAGGAGAGAAGGGATGGAGAAGAGTGTTCTCTGGAAGCACAGATGGCTTTAGTAATTAATAACACTTTGGGAAACAAGTTAAAAAATATGATTGCCGAAAGAAGGGGGCTGTATGGGTAACCTGAGTGCATCTATTTGGTACCTTTGCAAGACTGTGCTGCATTAAACATTCCTGGAGGAACGTGCCTGGTAGAATCAGCTCTCCTGTGCTCTCCCACGTGCGATGGGACCAAGAAGGCTGAGTAAAATGGCACGACCGTTCCGTGTTATTTTGCACTGTGCAAAATGATCTTGTATTGTGACTGGCATGTAATCATCCCAGTAAATATTCAAGGGGAAAAAAAATAATGCTGCTTAATCCCTTTCTCTTGCTGTCAGGGAGGATGGGGATAATAAAAGCGGAGATCACAAATGCTCTGCCGGAGTTGCTGGCCTACATTTCCAGTGGTGAAGGGCAAGAAGCGGGCTCCCAGTTTCTGGAGCACAGGGTGCACCCCAGAAAGAATGCCTGAGCTGCAGCAGGATTTTTGTGAGGATGCTGAGCTTTCCCTGGAGACTTTAGATGACTGCATTTTACCTTCCTGATATAAAGTGCTGGCAGCTGCTGCCTTGCTGGCCTGAAAGGAGGACCCACCCTCTTCCCATCCTGTCACCTGCTGCATTTTCCCCAGTGCCTGCATTACTTCCCTGTCTGCCTGTTGGATTGCCCCTTCGTTTCTGCTTTCTTTGAATTATGGTGAGACGCCCTTAAAACTTTACTTTGGGTTGGAGTGTAGGTTTTTATGAAAATGATTAATCTCATTGGCCCAAGCGGAGTAAAAGCATTTGCCTGGAATTGACCTGGATTCTTTGTAATGCTGTAAATGAAGTCTTGGATTGTTAATGCTTTCATCAGGAGTGAGTAATTTCGTAGATTGAAAACCTCTTAAAGTGCAGCATGGTAATTTTGGTTCCAGAGAATTACTATAGATGACTGTAAAAATAGAGTACATTTTTTCCCCAGTAAAAAAAAAAAAAAAAAAAATTAATAATGGTTATTAAAACATAGGTAAAAGCCCCTGCAGGAGTTGTAGGTTATTATGTAGTTATTACATCCAAGATACCCTGAAATTCTCTTACTTAAATTGCAGATTGTGTTTCTTAGTCCTATTACATTTGCATACTGATGAGAGTTTGTGGTAACTTTTGTATTGTGCAAATCCTACTATTGTTTAGTACTTGGCTTAAATAATGTGGGTTTTATCATGTAAGTATACCTTATTCTCTGCAGAAAAAATATCTGAAACATTTTGTTATTCACAAATAACTTTGGAGGCTGTGCTTTATAATCAATTTATATGCTTTTGATAAAGTAGAATCTCTGGGCTTGAAATTATTTGGAGTGAAAATAGTCTGCCCATTTCTGTAATTCAGTGTCCTGAATCTTGCTCAGCAAACACCAGGAAGGACTTTTACCTTTCAATTTGAAAAACTGATCCTGAATCAAGAACTGCCTTGAGTTGTGGCTTCATGGCTGGAGGCAGACACAGGATTGGGACTTAGGGGTGGACTGTGTGTGGCACGAGCAGGAGGCTGCATCCTTTCTTTATTTAATAATTTCCTGGCTTAATTCAGTGAAGCTGAATGCAACAGTCCTTGATGAAACTTCATGTGGCTTATGAATGTGATTTCCCTCATGGTATTCCTGTGGTAGAAGTGGAGAGAATGCTATTCATTGGGAGTTTTTTTGTTGTTGTTGGTATTTTAACTGTGTTTAACTGCATGGCTACCTTCCTCTTTTTTTGTTGTTGGTTTTTTTTTCCTAATCTTTGGGAATCATGCTGTGAAGTTTTTATTCCCGTGGGATAAACAGCTGTATGGCCCTGTAGTCGGTGCCATGCAGGTCAGTCTCAGTGGGGTGAAGATGCAGAGCTGTCTGGTAGGTGGAGAGGCTGCTGCTCTTGTGGGGGAACACACGAAACGCTCCAGAAAGACACGCCAGAGGCTCCAATTATGTAATGCCCGGAGCAGGAAGCCACCAAGTCGTGTGTGTGCAGTGTGTCAGCAGCACCAGACTGATGTCCCTGGCAAGGCTCCACTGCAGGAAGGAGCTGAGGTTTCTCAGAGGCTTCAGCTGAGAGCGGGAGCTGTGACGGCATGGCCCTGGCTGGAACAGCTTGGCCCAGGCATGGCAGGAGCTGGCAGTGCCCAGCCTCGCTGCCTGCTGAGTGCTGACATAACACCGCTCTGCTGAGTGTGGTTTCCTGCCCACCAGTGTGACTTTGTCTTTATTTTTTTTTTCCCCTTTCATGTGTTGGTGGGTATTTGTGGCTCTTTTGTTGGTTTGTTTTGGTGTTTTGTTTTTTTTTTTTTCTCCTGCTAGATCTAAAAAAAAAAAAAAAATTACGAAGAAAGAAAGGAGCTTTTTAGAAACAGCCCATCCAGATTCATGTCTGAAAAATGTTAGAGCTGTGTCTAAAACTAACTGATAAACTATGGTTGATGTTCCTTTTGGGCACAAAGTGAGTGAAGAAGGTTTGGTAGGAAAGGACCATTTCAGTGCATTGACAGACTAAAATCATACCTGCACTTCACTTTTAATTAGAACGAGGCACAGGGTCCTTATTGGAATTCCAAAGTTTCAGTCTCCCAGTGAGTAACTCGAGGTGATCACCTGTAACCAGGTGTCCATGGATGGGAAAGCCATGGACTTGTGGAACTGTGTTCCTGTCAGGTCATTCCCTCCGACCCTTTCAGAGAGCGACAGGTGGAAAAGGAACTCGAATGTCAGATCCCTGTCGATCAAAACTCTTCTCCTTTAAAATAAAGGAACAAAAAAAACCAATCTCTTGCCAAGCTCAGAGCCTTGATGAAGGTTGTGCATCCTTTTTTGAAGGGTTATTATGATTTAACTGGGTCTTTTGGAAAATTAAGTCCTCTCCTAGTGGGTTATCAGGGGGTTGAGTCATGAAGAGAAACAGGCAACACCTGTGGTATATTTATATTTAAGGTGACAGGACAGTTCAGGTGACTAGTTAAGAAACAAGTCTTGCTTTACTGAGCAGTAGTTAGGAAATTAAAGATCCTCCACAAAAAAAGTCGGTATCGAGGTATTTAAGACCAACTTATTCACCTCTTTTTAATTTTCCTTGGAACAGGAGAGAAATGAAAATTTCAGGGTTTTGTATTTCAGCCTTTACTACCAGGTGTGGAATGAAGGCTGAGCCTGAGGCTGCAGCTGCTGTCCATCACCCCATCAGTAGTTACTGAGAATTAGGAATTGCTCAGTGTTTCTTTCTCTGGAACTGAGACTTGACTCTGGCTCTGAGTGCTTCCCTCAAAGAATTTACAGTCTTACTGAAAGGGCCATTGGAGATTTTTGGACACAAACAAGCTCCTGAAGAAATACTTAACTGGCAGAAGAGAAAGAGATTTTTGGTGTTTGCATAATTAAAAAAAAAAAAAAAAAAAACTGGTTTTCTTCATTAAATTTATGAGATTGTACTCATGTGTTTACATGGAACACGAGAAATTTCAGAGCCCAGTGGCAACGTTGCCCAGAAAGCTGTAAATGATTAAAACCAGTTGAGAAGCAGATCCCGTTTCTGTTTTGTGCATTAGGTCTGGTGAGATGCTCCTGACTTCAGTGGAGTTGATGTAATCGTGTTGAAATTTGACCACAATCTGCAAGAGAACAAAGATATCTGAGGTGTATCTCTTACTGTAGACTTAACAGAGTAGTTTGTATGCTTGAAAACATTTCTGTCATGTCTTTGTCTTTCCAACAGAAACATGTCTTGAGCAGGGAGTTGATTTTAGCATCAAGTTGGCTTTAGTTGGGCCCAGAAGGAAGTGTGAGGGTGCTTTTGTGTGCAGCTGGGAAGTGGTGGAGACCCAGTAGTGTCTTGTCGTGTAATTATGAGCCACTGAGGCCAGTCTGAAAGTGCACTGGCAAAATGAGAGTGTCTGAGGCATTAAAATAATAATAATAATAAAAAAAAGTTGAAGGCTCTGTATAGTCTTGAACTAGAAGAGCACGTGGTTGGTATTTAATGAGAACAAAGCTCTCACCCACCATCCTCTCGGCGTTGCTATTTATGATTTGGAACAACTTCTGTTTTAATAGACATTTTTGGCAACTTTGGGAGGATTCAGCAGAACAGGAAACTGTTTTCTTTAGCTGCCCTCATGGCTGTAGTTGTGAATGCCGTGGTTCTCAGTCCCTCTGCTTCCTTCTTGGGGTGTTTTATGTACGATGAGTCCCCAGAGCAAGTTCTAGACCTACAACATGCTCTGTCCTGTCTTGGCTGAGACATTTATTTTCTAGAATCTCTCTGTTTCTAATATCAAGATTTTTTTTTCCCCCCCTTCTTCTTCTCATTAAACTCAAACCTCATAAAACTGAAAAGGTATCAGGTCAGATTTAATTCTGTGTATGCACCTATACCTCAGAATAAAATACTTTTTTCCCCCTGCTCCTGAAAACTGCTCCATTCTTGGTCTCCACTGTGTTACTTTTTAGTTTGAAGTGCTTGGATGAATGGGTACCATGTGTTCCTTTCACCTGCAGCTATGATGCTTTTGCTTAAATAACAGGAAATTTCAAAATAAAATGTACTTCAAACAAAAACTCACTGAGTGTGCACTATTTGTTTGCTGTAGTGTAAATATTCTGTTCCATGAGGAGAAATTATTTCTGGGGGGGAAAAGAAGGTCTTGGAGTAGTTCACTGTGTTTTTATTAGGTAATTAAATATGAATATGCACAATTAAGGCTTTTCCTTTTTTTTTTTTAGGGAAAGGAAGACATTCTCTACAATGTGAATTTCTACGGAGTAATTCCTGATTTTCCAAAGGTATGAATTTTTCTGTTCTTTTAACATTTTAATTGAGTTTTTTTTTTTTTTTTTACTAGATTATTTACTTCTGGTTTAAAATATGGTTTACTGTTCCAGTGCTGCACTGTCCATATTAGTAGAGGGAGAAAGGTATTCTGAAAAAGCAGTGGTTGGGGTTGGGAGGAGAGAAGTTATTAGAAATTTAGGTCATAATTCAGAGTCTGCTGAGCTCTCCTGAAGACCTGACATGAATAAGAATGTGTGTGTGTGTGAGGATGATGAGTGACACAGACAGATGGGGGTACTCAAAGCCCTCAGAGGCCTCACCTTTTTGTAGTGTAACATCCTGGCAGGTAGGGATGAATAAAAACTGCTGGTCTGTGGCCCCTCCCCAGGCCTGATAAACTCCAGTGATGATGTGGAAACATTCTTCCAACAGCTGCAAAGGCAGTTCAAGTGCTCTGATCTCCCTGTGCTTCCAGCAGGTTCTCCTCACCTCAGATTTGTGGAGAACAGTTTTTTTACTTTCTAATGCTCAGAGAGGGGTCTCTTCTTTTAAGTGATCGTGACGTGATGGTGTGTTTGCTTTTTGTTGTTCATGAAAAAACGTGTCCAAATTCACATCAGAATTCTCTGATGCCATCTGAGATGGTTTCTCAGACGAACATTCCACCTGCAGACAGATCTGCTCTGGGGAAATGTCACTGCACAAAAAGACCTCGACACCAAAGGATACGGTTGCATTGGTGGTCTAGACTTTTGGAACTAGAAGTGCTGGTGCCATGGTTGCAGGCAGTGCTTTATGCATGTGTAGCCTTGGCACTAGTCATTAAAACACACTTGTTTTCCTTGTTTTTCCACTTCTTGATTGTTGGTCTGTCCACATGCTGTGTGCCACAGGCATTTGGGAATTTGCTGCACTGTGACCCGGTGTTCCGTCACAATTGGTTTGTTTATTTGTAACGGGTAAAAATAATTCTTCTGTGGGCATAAGTTTGCTAAAATAGGTAAAAGAAGAAGAAGAAGAAAAAAAAGCTTACGTTGGCCAGGAATAGCTTTCTTGGAAAGTAGAAACTTCTGTAAATATTCTCTTAGAGCAGTGGTCTGAAGATACCTGATAGTATGTCAGATAATATTTCATGGTGCTAGATTCTTATCCAGGTGGGAGCTACAGCACCCTTACCAGAGATTCAGAATGAATTCCACTCAGGGACAGAACTGTTAGCTCTTTGGTTAAAACTGATGAAGAATTAGGAGATGAATCAATTTACCTTGAGTTGTTTGAGGATCTCGAATGCTTTGAAAATAAGACTACGTAAAAGAGGGGAGAGCCACTTTGTGTGGAGGCAGGTGAAGGAAGTTAGGGATTTTTTTTAAACATAGGATGTAGAAGGACATGCTGTCGGTTTTTGAAAGTCAAAGGCTTCAAAAACTTTGGGAACAAAGGAAAAGAAAATCCTAGAACTCCTGAATTTTTACGTCGAGTAAATGTGAAGAGAACTTGGCTCAATAACAAAACAAAACTCTCCCCAGGCAGTCACAATTCGTACAGTCAGTTGTAGGGTCTGTGAACAGCCTGCTGCAGCTAATACCAGTTGTGCTGAGGATGCCTGGCAGAGGTTTTCTGGGTAGCGAGGGTGTTAAAATATCTCACTGTTAAAGATCAAGTGAGAGCATTGTGTGTTCTTCCCTGTTCCCTTACAGCGTGATTCCAGGCAGTGTTTCTTCAGGAGATGAGGTCAGCCAGTGTGTCCTTAAAGGTTTATTCTGTTTACACAGTGGTGGGTGGGAGGACAGGGGTGTGCAAATGGGAGATGTTGCCTTTATCATAACACATCATTACCTGTAATCATGATCCCCTTAGGAGAGCATTAGTCATGTTATTGAATAATCAGGAGCTACAGGAACTTTGATCCCTTTCCTACTCTCAAAGAGACTGAGCTGAAGAGAGGACTAGCCAAAGAAAATCTTTTAAATAAACTATGGTTTTCAACACTGTTGAAAGGAAGGAGTGCTGAATTCCTGTTAAAATTTACAATATGAAGCTGGGCATAATGTTCACTGGGCATTCCTGATACAAATAATAATTAAAACAATGCACAGTTCATCGATGTTAGCTCATTGATTTTATTCATCAACACTTCATAGTTGATTTTTATGGAGGTGAAATAATATCCCCGTGGTATATTTACAGGTTAGAATTGCAGAATTTTTTTTTTTTTGTAATGGACAGAGTCAGAATATTTGGCATGTGCATTTTTATTAAATTACCTGTGCTCTTGTGTGGGTACTTGTGTGTCACTGTATCTCCTGAGATGGGGAGCTAAGAGCAGCATTCACCCCATCCTCATTACCAATCCCAAGAGATTTCTTGTTTATCACTGTCTCTTGTGTTCAATAAGAGCCAAGTACGTGCTGCCCATGTTAATCCTCTTTATGTAGCTGTACTTTGTCACTAAAAAGAAAGTGTGTTTACGTAGGAAATATGAGGACAGGCCTCAGTCTCTGGTTTAGGTCCAGCCCAGCCTTGTAGAAAAGAGAGTCTGCTAATAATTCTGGAACAGTCACTGATTGACTCAGGCAACAGTTGAATCAGACTGTGGTGAAGGAACACTAATATTTTTTCTCAAACTGTTGTCTGACTCCCTCCTGCTTTGGAAAAGTTGAAATAACTCCCTGACATGCTGAAGGTACAGGAAGGGAGAGATGCAAATTAGAGCTATTACCAAAGAGAATTTGAACTGTAAAAGAAAGTAAGGACTCCCTAACTACTGTCCTACTCCCTAACTCATTGTCCAGTAGCGTGGTTTAAAGGGGTTATTGAATAACTGGATCACCCTCAGCCTGGGGTTTATGAGCACCTGGTGTTCTACTGGCTGGAATCACAAAAGGAGGGCAGGAATACTAACGTGTGAGGTGCATTTATCTGTGTGTATGGCTTTCTTTTGTTTCCCTTTTCCTGATTCTGTATGTTCTGCAGCTGTGCAGTCAGTAGTCTCCATTAAAAGGTTAAGGATAATATCAGGGTGCTGGCAGGTTCCTTCAGGGCATCAGTTCTTAAACAAGACTCAGGGAGAGATCCTCTCAACTGTCTCATCTTCCCAGGGCATGTCAATGGGTTTTGTCCCCGCTGCATATTCCAGGTTGGAATCTCTTCCTGAGGGGTCCTGTGTGCTCTGATGGACCCTGGCAGGGTGGGGGCAAAGGGCAGAGCAGCTGAAACTCAAGCTGGTAGAGGCTGAGGGTGAAACGGTGCAGCCTTGTCTTGTATTCCAGGAGATCATGAACAGGTCATGCAATCACACTGCTCCTGGAGCTTTCCCTTCCCTCTGGGGTTATGAAAGAGAAGACTGTCTGCTGGCTCTTCTAAAACCTCTCTTCTTAGGAGCAGCTTAACAGATATGTCTGCTGTGATCTTTATAGCTGGAACAACTGCTGGTCTTGCTTTAACAGCTGAGGGTTTACTTGGTAGATTTGCACAGAATCATAGAATCATTAGGGCTGAAAAAGACTTGCAAGGTCGAGTCCAACCTTTGACCTGACACCAGCCAATCCTGAAGTGCCAAGTGACTCGTTTTTACCCTGTTCATATTTCTCACACCAACACACTTGTAAGAATTATCACCTGTGATTCCTAATGTTCCAGTCCTTCACTTGAAAATACCAGGCCCTGATGAACTTCTCTCCGTGTAAAACATCTGCTCCGATCACCGGAATGTTTTGCACTTGTTTGTCTTACGCCAGTGTGGGACTGTCACTGTCACACCCGCTGAGCATAATCAAGGATGAGTTTTAGTCCCAAATTATTGGCTGCCTGGTCATTATAAAGGGCAGGGTAACTGGTCCCAAAACGGAAGTGGCACTCTATGGGAGAGGGGGGGAAATAAAGAAAAGTTGTCTTCTTGTTAGAGACCGGTGCAATTTGTTCAGATTGCTGTTCTCAAAATAAAGAGGTTTTTAATCCTGGCTTTAGGCTGTGTCTCCACTGGGTATCTTGTTAATGTCCCTGATAAGCACAGCAATTAAGATATTTTGTGGCGGTATTTTCCAGCTGAGCTGAATTCTTCTCGGTGGCATCTAATTTGGCCAGGAATCCTACTGCTGTTCTCTCAACCAGGTCCACTGAATCCTGCAGCCTGGCTGATTCTTCATGCATGCTATCTCTATCTTCTGGAAACTGAGTTCTTTTAGGCCTGGAAAGTTATCTGCTGTTCATAAGCAACATGCATATCTTACTTAGGTGGAGTATACACTGAGTTTCCCTTCAGGTGGCCAATGTTTTCTTTATTATAAAGTTCTCTTATTCTTAGCACATTTCTAGGTCAGGAATGCTTAAAATATCTTCGGTCATTAAAACTTGGAGTCAACAGTATAAAGCAAAAATAGAGAGGCAAAAGAAAAATAAATGGAGCTTACTGCATCCAGATGAAGCATTGTTTTCCAAATATTCCCTGCTGTTTGTGATCATGTAGTCTTTGTCTTTCTTTGGAAGACTGTTCTGCTTCATTACAGCGAAATCCACCCTCGGGTAGACCTTTGTGGTGAGAAAGGTGAGCACGGAGAGAGCAGAAAATGCTCATACTGGCAAATATACTGCCTCAGACTGAGAAAGGTTCAGAAGAGGGAGGCAGAGCTCTGGGACTTAAAAGCAAGTGATAACAAAGGCATACTGATAATTCCTGGCTGTTGTTACTGAGTTGTCAGGTTCTCTGTAGTTTCACGCACGTTTAAACTGACACTTGTGAAGAAGTAAATAGAGGCTGGGGACTAATTTCACGTCCCTGGGTGCCTGTGCTAGGAGTGAATCGGGTAACTGAGCTGGCTGCAAAGCAGGCCTGATAAATAACATTCCAGAAGGTTATTTCCAACCCTGGGGAGGAGAAGGCTCCAGGGAGAGCATGTTGCCACCCTTAAGAGGTGTCTTCCAAGAAAGAGGGGACAGACGGCTTAGTAGGGTCTGTTGTGACAGGACAAGGGGTAATGGCTTTAAACTGAAAGGGGATATATTCAGGCTGGAT